GAGAGGGAGAAGCAGGCTTCCCACGGAGCAGGGAGCCGGATGTGGAGCTCGATCTCAGGACCCTGGGATCATGACCTGAGCTGAAGGCAGACGCTTAACGACTGAGCCACCCAGGCGCCCCGGATTTGAAGATATTCTTAATGACCCATCACAAAGTGAACTAATGAAAGAACCACACTTGATGGTGGCATATAGACTCGGTTTACTGTAATCTATTTTGCTGTCTGTTCATGAAAATAGAGGGGCTGCGTGTTGTTTATAGTCCTCTTTTTACTATAACTTGATGTACACAACCTTAAAAGTACTGACACATGAGAATTTTTGACTAAACAATATCTGTGATCATTTGAAATTATTTAGGTCTTTGGTTTATGGCCAAGTGACAATTGAAAGCACTAAAGGGAAATGATTTTAAAACTTCCAATTTATATGAAAACAATAGCTTTCCATGTCTTTAAAAATTTGTTGATCATGAGTATTTTAAAACTGTCTAGAGTTTCTAATTCAGCCTATTTTCTGGATATTCCATAAATTTAATTTTGAACAACCTTATCAGCATTTGAGTCTGTAACCTTCATAGTAGCATCTTGCAGAATAAACATCTGTAACTGATTTCAGTGGCAACACTTCAAATTAAGGACCGAGTAAGATATTTATATTTTACCTTGTTTCAGTATAGCCTACTGAAGCTCATAAGAATAATACTGGATTTATTGATGTTATTTTAGAATTGTAGCGATTCTTTGATTCAGGTTGGTAAGTACAATAAGTTCAAAGGTTTTGATTTTGGTCTTCTTTGTAAAGTGAAAAATTAAATAAAGCAACCAGCATATGCTGATTAAAAATAAAAGATATGAACTTCCGTGTTAGTGTAAAAAGATTTGGGAGTACTATATAGGTTATCCAAGAAAAAAGGAGGAAGGAGGTTAAATTATTTACATTATACTTGAGGGATTATATTGTCTCTGTTATCTTTTTCTTTGAGTGATGCACAAAGAAGTAGCTCTTCAAGTGTTTTTTAACTGGAAAAGAATCTAACAAAAATCATAAATTGAGGGCACCTGGGTGGCTCAGTTGGTTAAGCCTCTGCCTTTAGCTCAGGTCATGATCTCAGGATCCTGGGATCGAGCCCCACTTCGGGCTCCAGGCTCTCAATGTGGAGTCTGCTTGAAATTCTCTCTCCCTCTCTCTCTGCCCCTCCTACCATGCACCCCCCCCTAAAATAAATAAATAAATCTTTTTAAAAAATCATAAATTGAGATTGCTAGAAGCACCTATATTTTCATCCACCTCATTATAGCTAACTTTGTACAATGAATGATTTATTCTAATATTTGTTTCTTGAATCTTCAGCTATGTTTTCTAAGCCTACCTCAAAAGTGTTTCCTGACAAAGAAGTGCATTTTAGTATATTCTCTCTTTACTGGATTTTACTCATTTTTCAGTAGAGCAGAAAGACCAAGTTTTTAGACAAAGGTATAGAATACTGGGAGAACTCTCAAAACAGGTTTTTTATACAATTTACTAAACTTGGATGTTTAAGGACTGAATTGAATTATCACACAACTCGAAATACCAGAGAGTATGAATCATGACGCTTTCATAGTTTCATTAGTTAGTATCCCAAGATACATTACACACTAAAAGCAAGGTTAATGACATAAATGCATATTCAAACTACTGTTGATAATCTGGATGTTTTCTTCTTTTTTCAGCTTAGGGCATCCTTGTTTCTACTTTGTACAGTGACAGATTAAGAGCTCATACGAGGAGAAGAAAAAACTCAGCTCTGTCATTTTCTTGTTTGCTCAGAAATGTATTTTAGTGTTATTTTCACTCAGTAGCTTCATTGCAGGTATATCTTTTAAGCCGCTTGTCCATCAGTGAAGATCTGTAAATCATTTTAACTGATCCAATTTAAAACTGTAATATGCTAGAGCCAGTAAGAGCAAATGAATGAAAGCAATTCTACCAACTTTTCCATAATGAAAAGACCTAAACTTCTCTTGGAATACCTTGGAAATAAAATGTGACCATCTGCCATTCAGATCAAGAGAAACAATACTACTTTGATTTTGTTTTCTTAGACTTAAAAATAGAGAATTTTTCGAACTAAAAAATAAGAATAAAGTTTTCAACCCGTTTCCGTCCCTGCCCCCAATCTCCAATACACACAACACTGGAGTATATAAATGCTTTCCACTTTGGAGACCACTGACTTACCATAGTGGTAAAAATAAAGACGGAGAAAAATGAATGGAATTAAAACACATTAAAGGAGGTAAAAGCATTAGGACTTGGTGACAGTTTATTGGGTATGACAGAGAGGGAAGTGCCAAAGATAATTCCAAAAAGGTTTTTCTAGCTTCACTAAGACAGGAAACAGTCAAAGAGGATCATGCTTGTTTTCTCTTGCTTTTTGGTTGGGAACTAGCAGGGAGAATCACTAGTTCTCCCTGGAAGATGTCTCAAAGGCACTTAAAACTCAACATCTAAGAAGTGTCAACTATGCAGCTGGATGTATGTATCTGAATTAAGATAAAAAATTTTTATTAAGATAAAAATTTGTAGAACATCTAAGTAAAGGGAATAGGATATAAAGAGAAGACAATTCTAGGTCTAAGCATGGTGTATATAACTATGCATCCACACAAACACTAATATGTAATTTTTTTCATTCTTTTGTATTATTTTATTTCCACAACGAAATGTTGGGCAGACTGAGGCAAAACACATTTCTTCATGTGTATTCTTTTATAGCACCGAGCACAATGCCTGGAAAACTTGTATTTATTGGTAGAGGCAAAGATAGAGGAGAAAAAGAAGTCAGAGAAGTAAGGTAACTCTAGATGAGCAACATATAGTGGGAGACAAGGAAGAAATAGGTTAAAATAGTATTTAATGCTCATGAGAAGCCATATGAAGATAAAAAATGAAAAAAAATGATTGAATTGACAAAATGGGCCACTAGTGGTCATAATGAAAATGGTTTTGGTGAGGTATCATGTGTAAAAGCAAGATCAATCAGACTAGACTGAGGAGTGCCTGAGGAAAGAACAGACATTAAGTATTAACCACTCTTTCAGGAAGTTTAACTCTCAGGAGGAGGACTAGCTGGAGAATCACACGGAATAGAGGGATTTATTTGTTTTGTTGTATGTATGTATGTATTGTGTTGTTTTAAAATAGGACAGATCAAGGATGTTTAAGTGAATGACAATGGATTCACTAAACCAGCTCTCCAAACATATTCCTAAACTCAACTTCTCATCCACCACAAGCCACATGTGAACTGCTCTTTCAGACCTGCTAATGAGTGTGAAATCCTTATTGTGCTCCTTACCTTCCCCATGTGCTTCTGGCACTCCTATACTTCTCCTTCTAAGCCCAGTTACTGTCATCATCTTTAGGATGTCATCTCCAAACTCCCTATCAAAATTTTCTCCCTTCTCTGTCCTCTCAGTGGACCCAGTTCATATGGTCAGCACACACAGAGAATAAATACCTAGTAAAGCTTTGTATAAAGTTTTAAACTAAAATACACATGAAGGTGTATTCACTGAAAAGTCAGAGAATGAGATGAGCTATAAAAAACCAAAACCCAACTTGTAAAAGCAACCCAACTGAAGCAATGATCACTAAGTACCTAACTGAAGTGTTTCAGAAAAACCAAATATCTAAACGCATTACCTGAGTATTTATACACAAATTCAGTAAACAAACATTTACTGAACAGCCACAAGTGCCAGGAACTATTCTAGGCATTGGCACATACTATTCTAATTGCTTTTTTAAATACCAATCTTAGAACAGGGTAACATCCAAATGATTCAATGCTATACCTCCCAAGCACCTAGAACACCGCCAGGAGTTGTTTCAAACATACACTGAATACGTGCAAGGGCAGTCAAAAGCTTCAGTACGCTTCAAACTATCACTGAAAAATCTACTAACCTATCTCCAATGATACCCACCTCATTTGCTTTCCCTCCAATGACAAAGAATGAGCTAACTGTGCACTATTCTGAAGTCAATATCCTGTACTTGAGCACTGAATCTCAACCTCTCTTGTGGAGATTTCCTAAGGGTACCCTCTATCTTTCATGTATCATATGCTTTTCCTTCTTACTAAAACATTATGATCAGCATATATATATGATAAAACACTCTCATCTTATAAAAATACTCACCTGACAACATCACTATACCCTTCTTGGCAGGATCACATTTCTCTGTTCCCTTTTATAGACAATGCCTCAAAAGAAGCTCACTGGCTCCAGTATAATTTGTGCCTCTGTAATCATTCTTTTGCCCTCAGCTTTCTAACTAAAATGCATCGTCAATAAAGAATACATTGTTAAATATGATACCTGGAACACAGTAAGAACTTCGTAAGTAAATGTTTTGACAAATAACCATCAAATTTATACAGATGAAAGCCATAATGACTGAGATCAAGAATATGCAAAATGAGATTAACAGCAGATTAGACACTGCAGAACCAAAGATTATTGAAACAGAAGATATAACAATAGAAACTACTCCTAAATGAAACAACAAAAAAGACTGAAAAAAAAAATGAATAGTGCATTATTGACTTATGGAACAATTTCAAGAGGCCTAATATACATGTAATTGGAGCCCTTCAAGTAAAGGAGAAAAGGGGAAAAGGGAGTACAGAAAAATATCTTGAGAAAATAAGAGCAAACTTTTTTCTAAATGTGATAACTATAAACCAAAGTTCCAAGAAGCTAAAAATAACCCCAAGCACAAAAAAGATGAAAAGAACCACACCAAGACACATCAAAACTGAACAGCTTAAAATCAGTGATAGAGACAAAAAGAATCTTAAAAGCAACCAGAAAGAAAAAAGACAAATTATATACAAAGAAGGAAAAAATTAAAAATAAACTATATACCAGACACAACACGAGCAAGAAGACAGCGGACAACATCTTTAACCTAGAATTCTATTTCCAGCAAAAATACCTTAAGAAAAAAGGTAAAATAAAAATTTCAGACACACAAAAGCAGGAAGCATTCATCACAAGCAGACAAGCATTAAATGAAATGTTAAAAGTCAGTCCTCCAGGTAGAAGGAAAATGCCAATCAGAAATCTGGATGAACACAAAGGAATAAAGAGCAAAAGAAATGATAACTATATAAAGAAAGACAAAAGTCCTTTTGCCTCTATTATTTAAATGTCTTCAAAAGATAAGAAACTGTCTAAATGAAAAATAAAAATATTGTGGGGCTTATAACTTAAATGTTAAGTAAAATGTATGCAACAATAGAACAGATACTGGGAAGGGAGAAAAAGCATAATGTTGAAAGGTTCTTATATAACAGAAAAGAATGGTATATTACTTGAAGATAAGACTTTGACAAAGACATATTCTACAAACTCTGGAGCACACATAAAATAAAACAGTTAAAGTTAATAAGCCAAAACTACAATGCAAGCGTAAAAAATACTCAATCCAAAAGAAGGCTAAAAAGGGGGAGGGCAGATGGGACAAGTAGATATCAAAAGGCAACATGGCATATCAATAACCACATTAAAGTGGTTTATCAATAACCACATTAAATATAAATGGTCTAAGTACACCCCCAAAATAAATAAATACCCCAATAAAAGAGCAGAGTATCAGATTGGATTTTTAAAAAAGGCAAGACAAAATTATATGCTACTTACAAGAAGTGCATTTTAAATAAATGAACACAAATAAGTTAAAAATAAAGAATGGAAAAAGGAATACAATACGTACACTAATCAAAAGAAAGCTAGGATAGTTATATTAATATTGGACAAAGTAAATTTTATAGCAAAGATTATCATCAGGATTAAAAGGGGTCATTTCATAACAATAAACATATCAATTCATCTAGAACTAATAGCAATCCCAAATGTTTATGCACCTAAAACATGAACTCCTAAAAGTATGAAGAAGTGAACAATGACAAATTCAAGATAATTGGGAGATTAACTATAACTCTCAATAACTGATAGAACAAGTTAAATTAAAATGAGTAAGAATATAGAAAACTTGACTAATGCTATAAACCAAGTTGATCTAATCAACATTTATAAAACACTTAACAACAGCAAAATACATATTCAAGTGTACACAAAACTTTTACCATAGAAAACAATATTCTGGGCCATGAAATAAGTTGTAATAAATGTAAAAGAATTCAAGTCACCCAAAGTACATTCTCTGACCACAACGAAATTAAGCCACAAGTAAGAGAAAATATATAAGGTAACAGAAAATAGGTGGAAAACCTCCAAATACCCTGAAAACTAAATGACACTTCAAAATAATCCGCAGAATAAAGAAGAAATCAAAAAAGAAATCAGAAGATATTTTGAACTGAATAAAAATGAAAACACATTTCAGAATTTGTGGTCTGCAAATAAAACATTACTTAGAGGAAAATTTATAGCACTAACAGCCTGTATGAGAAAGTAAGAAAGATCTCAAATCAATGACCTTAGCTTCCTCTTTAAGAATTTTTTTAAGGGCGCCTGGGTGGCTCAATTGGTTAAGCGTCTGCCTTCAGCTCAGGTCATGATCCCAGGGTCCTGGGATGGAGTCCCACATCCAGCTCCCTGCTCAGTGAGGAGGAGTCGGCTTCTCCCTCTGCCCCTCCCCTCCCCTCCTCTCCCCTCTCCTCCACTTGTGCTCTCTCTCTGGCTCTCTCTCAAATAAAATCTTAAAAAAAAAACAAACAGAATTTTTTAAAAAAGAAGTGTAAATTAAAACAAAAAAAATAGAATTAAAAAAATACAATGTTTTTTCAAAAGAAATATAAATTAAACCAAATGAAAGCAGGATAAGAAAGTAATAAAGAAGACAATGGAAATCAATGCAACAAAGCTCAAAAACAATGAAGTAGAAAAAGCAGTTTTTTAGAAGATCAATAAAACTGGAAAACCTCAAGGGGCACCTGGGTGGTTCAGCTGGCTGAGTGTCTGACTCCTGATTTTGGCTCAGGTCATGGGATCAAGCCCCATGTTGGGCTCTGTGCTCAGTGGGGGAGTCTGCTTGAGGTTCTCTCCCTCTACCCCTTCCCCACTCACTCTCTAAAAATAAATAAATAAATCTTAAAAAAAAGAAAAAGAAAGAAAGACAGAAAGATAGAAAGAAAAGAAAGGCACCACATATGTGAACAATTGCTATTGCTAAGGCAATTCCATGCAGAGACAAGCTGCTTCTTTTTTTAAGAGGCGGGGGAGGGGGGCTAAGGAAGAGGGAGAGAATCTCAAGCAGACTCCACACCCAGCACGGAGCCCAGCGGTGGTGGGGTGGTGGGGAGTTGATCTCAAGACCTTGAGTTCATGACCCGGGCTAAAATCAAGAGTCTGACACTTAACTGAGTGGGCCACCCAGGAGCCCCCAGAGATAAGCTTTTTAAACAAATGATGATGGAAATGGGTATCTGTACACAAAAAAAATAAACTG